GAGCTGAAGGGATCCCCCGAATTTGGTGGAGATCCGCCGGCGCGTTCGCGAGATAGTGACACCAGTCAACACTTTCACTTCAGTAAGGAGGTCTCTTGTTCAGGTAGCAGCATTCAAGCGTTGTCTTATTCGACCGTAAGTGCCCTGCGAAGTGGACTTCACATGATATTCCGCCATGATTCCAGTTCCAAGGGAATGTACACCATGCATTCAAAGGGCATTAAAGTGCGCAAGACGTGAATTTACATTTATTTACAGAGGTAAATTATGTCACACTTCACACTTCTCTAGTAAGTTCCGTCTGTGTGTGAAGACAGTAGCGCAAATCCGTGAATGAATGTTCCAAAGTGAAATAAACTTCAACAGAATAAAGTTGAATGGAATTGAATTGAATTGAATTAAAGTTGAATAAACTTCAACTTTACTGTTCAGTGCACTGTCAGACTCATTTTGAATAAAGTTTATTGTTAAATTGTTAAATGCCCTGCCTTCAGCATTACATATCTCAGTCACATCATTATAAGTGTTTGATCACCACATCTGAGTGATCATTGCAAAAAATGTGTTTATGTATATATATATTCTGTTTATGTATATACTGTATTCTATATATAGTACCAGTCAAATGTTTGGACACACGAATGGGAAAGTGTCCAAACTTTTGACTTGTACTATACGATAATATGCACAAAGAATATCGGCCGATATATCGATATCTGCCTTTTCTTTACTCCCAAATATCGGTATCGGTATCGGCCCCCCCAAAAAACCATATAGGTCGGGCTCTAGTTTATGATGTACCAAATGTAATTGTGACTAGTTATTCAGTGTGATTAAAAGCATAATTGGCTTCATATACTGTAGACTATACCCAGTTTGTTTTGAGAGGAAAATTAGAAATCATGGTTGTCGGAATGACAGATGCATCTGTATAATCTGTACGATTTTCTTTCTTCTGTGGATCACAAAAAGTATATATTCTGAAGAATGTTTTAGTGTTTTTTGTTCATACAATGCAAGCCAGTGTTGTGTTGGACCCCACTGAATTTCATTATATCGACAAAAACAGTTTATTTAAATAATAAACTATTATTTAAAATATAATCTTTTGTGTTTCTCAGAAGTCGGTCATTCTGTCAACTACAAGATTTCTAAGATTTTCGAAGAAAAAAAAAAACATTGACATGAGTGCAAATAAATGATGACAGAATGTTAGTTTTTGGTGAACTATCCCATTGAGTTCAATCCCATAATTTACACAAGACTTTAGAATATAAGGATGTTGTTGTTTAAATCTTATGTTATTGTGTGTATTAGAATCTCAGTCATTGTTTACAGTGCAGAACTGCTGTCGTGTTTACAGTCAAGTGTGTTTTTAGAGAGTGCTGTTTAAGTAAAATTAGCACAGCCCTCAAAACCAAATTACAGACATCTTGGGTTTTATGATGAAATAATGACTCACACGTCTTTCTCTTCATCCAGATGTTTATCCCTGTGGAAATGCACTGAATGTTTAGATTTCTTTGTCTGTCATCTGATTATATTGATTCAAAGAGTTAATATCTGGAAATGGTTATTTTGTGCGTCTTGCGTGTGATCAGATATTCCCAACGCACATGGTCTGGCAGTGGACTGGGTGTCACGTAATCTCTTCTGGACCAGCTATGACGGCAATAAGAAACAGATCAATGTCGCCAGACTGGACGGCTCCTTCAAGAATGCTGTTATTCAGGGCCTGGACAAACCCTACTGCCTCGTGCTGCATCCCATACTGGGGTGAGTCCACGCGTGCCACAAACACTAGTGACATTTACCCCAGAACGCTAACACAAGAACACATCTGACTTCCTAAAGGCAGAAAAAAGATGCAAAACAGGATGCAACCACATGCACACTGGTTTTCTCATGTTTTACTGGAAGACAAAATGACGTAGAGTACAGGCTTTAGGAAAGTTTCCATTAGATTGTTTTTTGCATGAAAAAGAGAAAAATATATCTAATATGCAGCAAAAAGACACACACACACAAATTATTATTATTTTTTTTAAATAAAAAAATAAAAATATTTAAGAAGCTTTTCACATGAGCTTTTAAATGTGGCCCATACCAGAAACTTATCTGTGCAGGAGACACTCATAAACAGACACCTGATGCCCAAACTGCTTTTTGTCATTGTCCTTTGTTATTGTCTATCACGCTGGTGGCAATAAAGCATGTAATGAAATATAGTAAAATCATGGAGTGAAATAGTCACGTTATTATAAAAAAAAATAAAAAATAAAATAAATAAATTCAAACCTGCAAGTTAAACATGCACCATGTTTGTTGTTTTAGTATCATTGACATAATATATAAGTAGCATTGATATATTATGTAATTTCAGTTAATGTTTATTTTATTTCAGAATAACAGTTTTTTAATGGTTTTAGTTTTAGTTAACTATAATAACCCTGGTTCATAATAATTCTTAATGACACAATAACAGATTAATATAAATATTTATTTGGTAACCCAGAAATCACTTTATTTATTAATTTATTTATTTACATTTCATTTAAAATTATTTGTTCACCGATTCGTTTGCAGAAAAAACACCACTGCAGCACATTCACTTTGAAGCACTCAGCACATGCTGCTTAATTAAATCATGATTTAATAATCGCACAAGGCCATATTGTGATTTCAGTTTTATTCTGGTTAATTAAGTTGAATGTTTGGTGAAGGGATATAGCCTGCTTAACATTCTTCTTTTGTTAACTGTCTCATGTCCAGGAAACTGTACTGGACTGATGGAAATAACATCAGCATGGCCAACACTGATGGCATGAACCGTACCATGATCTTCACCAATCAGAAAGGACCAGTGGGTGAGTGACAGCTGAGCCAGAAGACACTGTCCTCTGGGTCATTTCCCTCTCAGGCTCAAAAAGCTTATTACATGATTGCACTGTGTTGTATCTCTAATCAGATGGATACATTACTTATGGGGATAATATTAGAATCCTCCTCCTAATTATTATTTCCTTTTTGTACTTCTGAGCTAACAACAACCATTTACCAGCATGAGAGGATCAGCTGATTCAGTGTATTACATTCTTCTACTTTTTTAGAAGTAATATTTTAAGTATCATGTGATATATTATGATATGTTAATGCAAATTTTAAACTTAGCATTTGATGAAAAAACATAATTTATGTGAAACATTTATAATTCATAAATAATTTTAAAATCAGAATCAGAATGAGCTTTATTGCCAGGTATGTTTACACATACGATGAATTTGTTTTCGTGACAGAAGCTTCCACAGTGCAACAGAATGACAGTGACAGGACAAAAACTCAGATAATGAAAGAATAAAAATAGAACAAGTACATAGGGAATAGCAATATACAGATTGATAATTGTATGTACAGGTATATTACAATAGACAGTTTTGTATGTACAGGTATATTATGTGCAAATTCGAAATGTAAACTATGTATGTGTGTTAGAAAAATAAGTATATAAGTGTATAAATAGTGTTGTGAGGAATTTGTTTTCGTGACAGAAGCTTCCACAGTGCAACAGAATGACAGTGACAGAACAAAAACACAGATAAAAAATTAAAAATAAAAAATAAAAAAAAAAGAATACAAATAAATAAACAAAATAAAATAAAATAAAATATAGAACAAGTAAATAAGAAATGCATTATACAAATTGACAATTGTATGTACAGGTATATTACAATAGACAGTTTTGTATGTACAGGTATATTATGTGCAAATTCGAAATGTAAACTATGTATGTGTGTTAGAAAAATAAGTATATAAGTGTATAAATAGTGTTGTGTGTTCCACAATTATTGTCAAGTGATCATAAGATGGATTGTCTGAGGGAAGAAACTGTTCCTGTGTCTGGTCATTCTGGTGCTCAGTGCTCTGTAGCGTCGACCAGATGGCAACAGTTCAAAGAGGCAGTGTGCTGGATGTGAGGGGTCCAGAGTGATTTTGCCAGCCCTTTTGCTCATTCTGGATAAATACAGTTCTTGGAGAGAAGGGAGGGTTGTACCAATGAGTCCGGACTATCCGACGTAGTCTTCTGAGGTCAGATTTGGTAGCTGAGCTAAACCAGACAGTTATTGAAGTGCAGAGGACGGATTCAATGATGGCGGAGTAGAACTGTTTTAGCAGCTCCTGTGGCAGGTTGAACTTCCTCAGCTGGCGAAGGAAGTACAACCTCTGCTGGGCCTTTTTAACAAGTCAGTGTCAATGTGAGTGTCCCACTTTAGGTCCTGAGAGATAGTGGTGCCCAGGAACCTGAATGACTCCACTGT